GAAAACACACACATACACACACACATACACACACACATCCCCTATATATAAGTGTTGAGCCTAAGTGACAGGCTTAGATGCTTCGGGATCCTATTTGACATACTTTTATGCTTTGGATAGATACATAATTAGGCTCGGGTGCCATGTCAAATGTCCATTAGGCATGTTTATTTCCATAATATTACATTAAATATTTTCCTTTATTGAAACAATCATTATTTAGCTCATTCCATATTTTTTCTTTCATAATTACCATAATACTTTTCATTTTATTGCAACTTTTTTGTTCTATAACATATCTTCACTTAAATCAATCATATTAATTTATTTCTCGATCTTTCTCTCCGATATTCACATAGAAGATGAAATAATATGATATTACTTTTTTAAAAATGATCTTTGTTTAAATTTAATTGGTATGCTGCCAATCTAATAAAAATAAATAATTAATTATCTTGATTCTAAAATTACATATAAATTTAGAAAACAAATATAGTTTGACATCCAAATTCTAAAATTATATACGGGTGTTTTACTATTATGATTAAAAAATCATAGTTTGACAATTTAATTAAAATACAAATTATTTTAGTTTATAATATATATATATATATATATATATATATATATAAATGTTTGATTATTTTTTAAATAGCAACTATTTCCCCGTTAAAAAAATGTTTACTAACTCTGGAAGTTATTTAAATATTTTATTATTGTATGTTTTAAAGGTACAATTTAGGTAATTGCGATTGATTTATTATGGTAATGCTAATCACATATATAAGTTTCTAATATCTCAAGATACACATTTCCTAAATTAAGAATAAATTGCATCATTTGATTTGCGTAATCATATATTTAAAGAAAACTAATAAATATCCACAATAAAAAAGAAATAAACTTTTAAGCTATTTAACTTATGTAATTCGAATTATTTTTCTATATTACGTAATCTTTAGTTAAAAAAAAATTATGAATTAAATTTATCTTATAGTTTTTTCCTAAATTGTTTATTTATTATGATTTTACACAATAAGATGTGAATTCTATATAGGCAAATGTTACAAATTTGTCAAGTATAACTAGGCTACTACATGAGCGAATTATTTATTCCACATATTTAAGTATAACTATATGGGCAAATATTAATAAATAATTATTAAGTACAACTAGATTGTGATTTCTCCTTAGTGATTTTTTTTTTTTTTTTCTTCTAAATTGTAGACGTTTTTCATTCTATAGGTAATTAACATTTGGATTTTTTTTCTTAAGACAATAAAAAATATTTATGGGTATATTTATTAAATATTTTTTACTAAGATAAAATAATTCCATTTGTCTGCGTCTTTTTTAATTTGGATTGATAAATAAGTTTAATTTTTATTTATAAAGATAGTTAGAATTAATTTTAAATTTCTATATGTGATATAGATGTAAAATAAAAAATCGTCAAAAAAAAATTAATTTGATAAATCATATCCGAAAAACGGGATACATATAAAAAAGTTATTGTCATTTAAAGTATGAATATAATAAATCATGGTAGTTAATAAATGAAATAAACGAGAATAAATAATATGAATTCTATGGTGGGTGATTTGAGAAAGAGAAGAAATGACAAATATAAATGCATAATTACCAAAATTGCAAATAAACTATTTATGTGAAGTACCAAACATAAATTCAAAGCAATATTATTATACAAACTGAATTACGAAGCACATCATTTTAAAATGCCAACATCCAAAGCGTGCGGACTTGCCACTTAGACTCAACACGTTCTGAAATTATATGTAGAGGGATAAGAGAAATTAAATCTACTTAATTTCTATATATTATTAACAAAATCTAACCAAATATAATTGCAATTTTAAAGTGAACAACAAAATTATTGTAAATAATAAAAATAAGCCATTTTAGATCATGGTTAATATAAATTATACTTTTATTTCTATATAAATGATTAAGATAGATAAATACAATTTTATGTTCTCTATTTGTCTATTTGGTAATCAAATTTGTACATGACTATATATATTATCTCAGTTTTACATGAATTTTGAAAAATATAACGTTTCACTTTACAAATCATTCAATCACAAAATTCAAACATCTTAAATTTAATTTAGTATCCAAGAACAAAAATTAAATAACTGGAAGTTCCAACCAATAAGAACCCTAATGAACCTAAAAAAACGACAAGGGCCCAGCAAAAATTACGATCTTAGTGCACTATTTCCTTTTTCCACCCATAACACGGCTCTCCCATTTGAGTTATCAGGTTTTTCTCTGCTGCTACAGCTCTTACGACCATCAGAAGAAGAATTAGGCCAAAAATTAGGATACATTCTGGGAAAATCAAACTTCCAATTGACACTTAATTTGATATGAATATTATGTAATTTATTACATGTTATGTGCACCGTACGAGTTGTGTACTAATTTCAGTAGCGTGTTTTATGTAATTTTGCACAAATTATCTTTCATATAAGATTTGAAATAAATTAATATAGGGAGGAGGGGAGCATTACATATTGATTTCATATTTTAATTTATTATTATTACTTAATAAGCATTTTAAATTTTTATATATGCTTCTTAATTCAAGACAAAACGGGTATTGTACTATAACATATATATAGCATGAGAGAGAGAAAGATACCTCTTTCGCAATGGGCAAGGACAAATCAAACGGGATGGGCCCACCACCACCTCCACCGGTCAACAGAGGATTGAAGTGTGAGGTTGTGAAGGTCACTGATTCCTGGTCAGGATGTGGCTTAAGTTGAATCATAAGAAGA